TCCCACTGCCATGCGTGGACTGTTATCAGTTGGTAGTGGGAAGAAGAAGAAAATATTATCTGGAATATATTCAATAAATAGCCAATTTGTACTAACAACTGTCAAGGCGAGGATGAAATTCAGGTTACAATCCGGTCCGTAACCTTTGGCACTAACGAAAGTTGTACTTGTTACATGCTGAATGGCACGCCGACTAGTGCGGCACAAGGGGACAAAGAGCTGGAGATTAAGGCAGACAATCGGCTTGGGTAGCCTTGACTTTTAGGCCAATCGTGATTAAGCGGGATATTACGGTGTATGCCTTCAATTTGCACCAATTAGCCCCTTACCCGGGTACAGACTGGAATCGAATTATTAGAGACATCTAGACATTTAGATCTTGAATATTTGTCCAGTCTCTCATCAGCCATCCTCGTGCGCACAATCAATATTAATAGATGGGTGGAGCGTTATATCGTATCGGGCCAACTTCGATATGGCTTCTAAAAGGGTAGAGCGACTAATCCCCGCTCTGCAACTGTTCATGCTCTTCATTGTGATGGTTATTACTTATTAGGGCAACTGACTGGTCTTTCCAGGCTTGCTTCTCTCCACCGCTCCTTCTACTTTGACAGGTCTGCTTCCTCTCTGGGGCTTGAATACTGGGTCACATGATCCGTATGCCTTAGGCTCTAATTGTTCTAGGCCTCTTCCAGAAGTCTCTCTGCAGTTGCAAGTCTCTTAGTGTCCCGGGAGAATTTCCCCAGCTTCCATCTCTCTCTTTTATTCAAGGAACTTTGTTCTGTTAAGTCTTTACTATGGCAGGCGTCTGCGCTTCATCCCTCAGACTCTCCCTCCCAAATGTCTTGCGAAATGCTCTCCGTTCAGAAATCGCCTCGGACCTCCATCAGGGTCCCGCATCTCGGAGAATCCTCTCCATAGCGCCTCTTTCTCATAGCAGATGCAAAACGCAACGACGGAACTTCAGCGCCTCTATCAAACCTCAGCTTTGCCAATCCGCGCCATATCTATCAGCACATGACTCCTCCTCTGCCGCTTCAGCTCCTTCTAATACCGCGCCGCTGGAAAATTCAGAAAATAAACCATCTGCCTCGACCGAAGTAAATGCATCGCCAGAAGTGGATGGATCCAAAACCAGCCATGTGGACTCCAAAACTGAGACACCTACCTCCGATACATTTACTGCAAATAAGCCTACCAAATCGTCTCGATCGAAGAAACGTTCACGCCATGAAGAACCCCCTTCCAATCCCATGGCCCAGAAGAAACCGGAGAAATGGCAGATTCATAAACAAGCCCTGAAAGAGAAATTTAAAGAGGGATGGAACCCTCCCAAGAAGCTTTCTCCCGATGCGCTGGAGGGTATTCGGCACCTTCACGCGGTCGCACCGGAAAAGTTTACTACTTCGGTTCTTGCAGAAGAATTCAAGGTCTCACCGGAGGCTATTCGGCGGATATTGAAGAGCAAATGGAGGCCTTCTGAGACCGAAATTGAAGACCGGCGGAAGAGATGGGAGAAGCGACATGATCGAATTTGGGGCCATTTATCGGAACTCGGCCTACGACCAAGTACGAAGCGCACCCGAGATCTGACAGACGCAAAGCAACTGCTCTATGGCAATAAGGAGAAGAAAGGGGGAAAGGCGTAAGTAATGATGGACGGGCCTGTACCGGCAGTCATCATGTATATTATCACATGTACTATACGAGCTACCTATCTTGTTTATATTGAATAGCATAGAAGAGGCGTTCTGGAATCAATATGTGGAGAATTTGCTTCGTTTCTTTGTTCCCCGAAAGCTTGCTTTCTCAAGTCCTCCGATCCGAGGTTGTATGGTCAGCAGTGCCGTCATTTGTAACATACAGTTTCACAAAAGTGAAAGTGGTTTGCGGGGATAAAGGGATCCCCCAGGCGGAAGTAGACATTGGGTATAGATCAACTTTGCTTTTCTCCGGACTGGAAGAAGATACTAACCGGGAGTCCGACAGCATATCTATCATATGTCGAGGGGCACAGCTTCTCTACGTGGTTCGTCATGGGATTGCAATTCCCTCCCGTCGGCCGTAGTGCACCACCATCCACCACCAGCGCGTCCTCACCCCGACAAGAACGTTATGGCACCCGCTCTGTGTCCTTCCTCCCTCCACATCCTCCAACGATTATGGCTTACACGATTTAATGGTATGCCCTAGCTGGCGTTGATTACCCTTCCTCTCAGTGTATCATATTTGCCAATCTTTACTTCAAGCCCTCGTTCTGGTGGCGGCTGGAACCCGCCATCTACCCCGGACCTTCGTGATTCTTGTCTGCGGTCACCCGCCCACATGGTGGCCTTGTGATCGTCGCCATGCCCTCAGACATCCAGGTTTTCGTGAAATGGAAGGATCAAACGATATTCGCCGGGGAAGATGTGGAATGTATCATTACCTTCAAGAACGTTGCGGAGACGAACGGAGAACCCCGGAACGGGGGGCAGTCCTCGCATCAGAGACATCCATCGCGAGCTACCAGCTCACATTCAGAGTCACTGTTTTCGCTTAGGTCACCTCAGAAATTCTTCTTCAGTCCACACCGCCGCTCATACTCTAGCGTATCTAAGAAGAGCCCGTCGCATCGCCCGTCCTCATCAGTGAGCTCACCGTTGATCGGTTCTCACAGCTTTCCGCCCCCGTCCACCCCTCGCAGCGGTCCACCTGCTGGTGGAAAGCACAAACGCTCAGTATCTATTCTTTCTATCGATAGCGAAACAACAGGAGAACCGACTCCCAGAACATCCTCCCAGTTCAGTCGGTCGAGGCCGGTTAGGGGCCATGGGCGCGCTGCGAGTCTACAGGTTCTTCCGAGGAGGAATGAGTTCTATGAGGATTCGTTTGCAAAAGGTACCTTCAATGAATAGCGCGATCGGGGGTTGATCGATCATCAGGCTGACTACCGTCAATTGCTAGCAGGACGCAACACGTACCGTGGCTTTCCACCCCCGGAGTCCCCGGTCACTTCGTCTCCTGGAAACCCACGGATAGACATTGACGATGTAGGAGGACCTACTCCCCAGCCCTCATTTGAGTCACCTCGTACACCTGCGCGTCGGCCTCAATTGCCACCCATCGAGTTCAAGTTTCCACCTTCGCCGGGGACTGATCCACAGTCTCGCCCTACTCTATCACCTCTCGCAACACCCTTCGAAGAGGGTCCTGGACAGACAAAGCCCAATGGAAGGGAATCGGCTACATTAGCTGCCCCGGGCCATCTGCCTCAACTCACCAGGATCATGTCGACCTCCAGCCTCACTGGTAGTCATAGAAGCAGCAACGAGTATAACTCTGTCAGCGACAATTCTTCAGAAACTCTGCAATCCGAGTACACCAACTACTCAATGGCGATGCCGCGCCAGAATATCCCTCGTCACGCGCGACACATGTCGAGTATTGAGTCTCCGGGAGTAATGCCCAAGAGCCAGACTCTACTGATGGGCTATGCCCAGATCAGTGCATCTTTCACTGTTGACGGTTCGCTGATTCATCAGTCACATTTCGAGGAAGTGAAGCGAAAAGGTGTTGTCGGTGGTGCAGGGTCTGCGCCGGGTATGAACAGCGGGAAACCGGCTATGAACAGCGATAAGAATCGCAAGGGCGGCGGTTTCTGGGGCGCCTTCAAATGGAATGCGATCGAAGAATCGCTGAGCGGTTTGCTCTCCAATAATGAGTTGGATGGCCTACGAGATATGCGAGGAGTTTCGTCTTCGAAGTCCATACCATTGCTGTCTACTACCCAGTCCCTTCTCTTCGTGGACCTACGACTGGCACCGGGAGAAGAGCAGTCTTACTCCTTTACGTTTACCCTGCCATCGGGTCTTCCAGCCAGCCATAAGGGGAAAGCTATTAAGATCTCTTACAATCTCGTCATTGGTACACAGCGGCCGAGTGGCCATCATGAACCCCAACGGGTCAACCGTATCAGCATACCCTTCCGCGTGTTCAGCGGCGTCAATGGTGAGCTTGCCGTCGCTTCCTTTGGTACCGAACGGTCACTAATCTCTTCAATAGGCCATGGGGAGATAATGGGTCATGACCTGATGAGCCCGTATGTACTCCTTCGCGACGAGGCGCGAGTGCAGAAGGTTGGCCCTACCCCGCCGCCGGCAGCCAAGCCCAAAAGCATCAGTGGGCCGACGTGGACGTCAGCCCCAGATTTCTTGTCGTATGTGGATGACATCCTGGAGCAGAGTGCACGCCAGAATTCACTGCAACCGCCCGAAGCGACGCCCGAGAAGCGCGCAAGTCGCGACACATCTACCGGGCACCTCACTTGCAAGGACGCTATTGATCTTGCCATTCTCCGAAGCAACCAGGCGCTCGGTTCCTCGCGCAGTCCTAACCGGTTTGAGATTGCCCGAGACGGGCGCCGAATTGCTGTCGTGGTACTCAACCGTCCGGCGCACAGGCTAGGCGAAACCATCATCGCCACCGTCAACTTTGCAGACGCGGCGCTTCCCTGCTACGCTCTGCGGGCGACATTAGAAAGTTCAGAGAGAGTGGCAGGACATCTAGCGGTGCGATCAAACGCCAGCATCCGTCGTGCGACTCGAAAGATCCATGCCTCCTATTTTGAAAACACCCTGTATGCAACGCGCGTGGTTTTCAGTCCGGCTGTTCCGGTATCGGCGACGCCGACCGTCATAACCACGGGGGTAAATCATGAGTGGGAATTACGGTTCGAGTTTGTCACAAGCAGTATCCACGATGGTTCAGCCCCTTCGGGAGCGCGGCTGCTCGAAACTGTATCGGAAGACGATCGCGGGCGCATCATGTCCGCGTTAGAGAACTTGGGCTGCGAATCGTTCGAAATCGCCATCCCTATCACGATTTACGGAGAGACAGTCCGGGAGCGATTGCCCGAGGAGAATGAAGGATACTCTATATGAATCATGTCTGGGATAGCTTGGCGCATTCATTAACAAGCCACATCTATTGTTCCATCAGTCAGTCGTCTTCTGAATGGTTCACCGACCCGGCGGAGGGTTTTGTTTTGCTATGACGGCGAATACGACGGCCACAGCAGACTTGAAGACTCCTAGGTATCATCTAATATTTTTTTCACATTTCCAACAATTTATGCCATCAAACGGCAGCCTACCTACGTAATAAAATTGAAGAATATCCACTACAACCTTGACGATGTAATAAAGGACCGGTTTCCTTGCGGCTGGCTGATGTCGCCGGGGCAACGGACGGGGCGATTGCCACCCTGGACGCTGCAGCACCCATGGATCCGGTCCTTGGGGGGGAGGTTCCGCTTGTGGGATCGTGGAGAAGGCAGGCCGGAAATGCGATCGATATAGATCGCCCTTCATCGCCCCTCGTTTGCAGTTGTGTGTGTGTTCCTTGTGCTTTGTTTTCATTACCTGAGGTTGCTGTCGCGCCTGTCTGCACTTGGTCAGAGCGGCTCCATCGCTGATACTCCAACTTTCGCCTCCTACTACCTACCCTCTTGTCCCTCCACTCATTCCGCCGGCCGGTCTATTGCTTCCCCCTCATCGGCGCGTGCTACTATTGTCCTGATTCAGGTATCCCTAAAGAGGTAAGACATTAAGACATGGAGGATCACTTTTGGCCAGATTTTCTCACTGTTGAGTCCGTAAACTTGACTGACAGGCGCTGACTTGGTTGGCATCGGCATGCAGGCGCATTCTTCCAACGGAACTCTACACAACACCTCGTTTTGACCACGAACACCGGAAAAGCGCCCGTGGCTTTGTATTTGACTGAAGGGAGGAACCAAAAGGAAAGAAAAGAAATTCGCAAGAAGATGGCATCCTTCATCACAACCATGTCTGTCCCCATCCTTTCTGTTACTGCTTCGTCCGATGTTGGACAGCCTGCCCCGTCATCCTCATCTTCTCCCCAACCTTCGCTCCCCTCCTCTCCGTCCATCATCTTCCCTTCAGTTTGCTATGGCACCGTTCAAACTTTCCCTGGCCCCTTCTCTGAGCCCCCCTCATATCTATCCCCGGCAGTACGCGCACTGAAATATGATCCCGCTGGACTGACACCTCCCAGCAACGCTCGGACCCGAGCTCCCTTCAAGCCGCGGTCGGCAGCCAAGGGCACCACTAGCTATCAACTGAGACAGTTCGCAGAAGCAACCCTGGGAAGTGGAAGCTTGCGGAAGGCTGTGAAGCTTCCAGAAGGCGAGGATTTAAATGAGTGGCTTGCAGTTAATGGTAAACTTACTCTGGAGGCTTGCAGCAGCAGTATCATCAAAGCCATGCTAACAGTTTGGTTCAACGTGCAACAGTGGTCGACTTCTACAACCAGATCAACTTGCTCTATGGCGCGATCACAGAATTTTGTTCTCCGCAATCATGTCCGGAAATGAAGGCAACTGATGAGTACGGAGCTATCTCCGATACCGGTCAAAGCAATGTAGAGCTGACGATGGACGTCCAGATTCGAATATCTCTGGCAAGATTCGGAAAATTACAAGCGACCAACGAAAATGTCGGCCCCAGAATATATCGAACATCTGATGAGTTGGGTACAAAGCAGTATCGACAACGAACAGATTTTCCCCAGCAGGCTTGGTAAGTCACGCCTTGAGAGAGTGTCTTGAGAGCAGACTACGTAAACTACGGTTGCAGTGAGCAAGCGCTAATATAATATGCTACCTCACAGGTGTCCCCTTCCCCAAGGTGTTCCCGAGCCTCGTGCGCCAGATCTTTAAGCGGATGTATCGCGTATATGCGCACATTTACTGCCACCACTACCCGGTTGTGGTCCATCTCGGACTGGAGCCTCATCTGAATACCAGCTTCAAGCATTACGTGCTCTTCATTGACGAGCACCGTCTGGCCAGCGGGAAGGATTTCTGGGGTCCGTTGGGAGATCTTGTGGATAGCATGCTGCGCAGTGACTAGAGATCAGATCGGTCGAATGGCTAGACGACCATGAAGATAAGAGGTTGAGAGGATGGCGTTTCGGGTGTTGGCATTCGGGAGGGCGTATTTCACTCGTAGAGGCAGTCTGGCGTTACATAGCATGTGCGACTGTATTTTGCATTTTGAGAACGAATAAAGGAATGAAGACTGGAGAATTGTTCCCAAGTATAGCACCGCAATCACGATAAGATCTTCAAGGATCAAGTCACTCGCAGTAGTGGATAGCCGAAAACCCGGCGTGTGCGGGATCTCACGTGACCGCTAGCCGGCAGAAGTTGGACGTCGCCCGTCCATCCCAAAGCACGACGAACCACCAGCCCGTTGCTGCTCGCTCAATCCCCTCCCCGACGCCCCGTCCGTCTCGCATCTAATCTCTCCTCCTCTCCTCCTCGAGGTCTCCGTCTCCAGATCACCATGTTCTCCGTTCGCGTCGCCCGTGCCGGCCTCCGTGCCACCGCCCAGCAGTTCTCCGTGCCTCGCACTGCCGCCGTCAACGGTCTGAGGACCTATGCCACCCCGGCCCAGGATGTCAAGCCTCCTGTCTCCCTGTTCGGTGTTGACGGCACCTATGCCACCGCTCTGGTATGCGATACCATGATCCTACCCGTTGGTTGCTAGTCGTGGCTCTTGAGGTTCCCTTGATTCAATGGCACGGAAGAAAGGAAGAAACAAGAAAGAGGGGGAAAAGGCGGACGGGAAACCTAAGACAACAAAAACAGAGATTCCCACGTTCTAGCAACCTCATGATCCCAGAACTGGACAACTTCAGGAAAGCTCCCTGGCTAACTGATCGTTTGCGTTTCTCTGTATAGTTCACTGCCTCTGCCAAGTCCGCCAGCCTCGACCAGACCTCCAAGGCTCTCGCCAGCCTCGGTCAGACCCTCAAGGCCGACCGCAAGCTGACCACCATCCTCTCCGCCCCTACCCTCACTGTCGCCGACAAGCAGCAGATCGTCCAGGAGCTGCAGAAGGTTGCCGGTGCCGATAAGGGCGACATCCTCAAGAACTTCCTCGCTACTCTGGCTGAGAACAACCGTCTTGGTCTCCTCGAGGGTATCTGCGACAAGTTCTCCACCCTCATGGGTGCTCACCGTGGTGAGATTGAGCTGAACATCACCAGTGCTCAGGTACTTTCTTCTTTCGGGCTTTTATATTGTGGGGCTTTATACTGATTGTTGGGCAACAGGAGCTCGACACCAAGACTGTCAACCGTCTCGAGAAGGCCGTTTCCAAGTCCGAGTTCAGCCAGGGCAAGAAGCTCAAGGTTGTCACCAAGGTATATTATCCTTTATATCCCGATTTACGCTATGTTTACTCATATGTTGAAAACAGGTCGACCCCGAGCTCGTCGGCGGTCTGGTTGTTGAGATCGGTGACCGCACCATCGACCTCAGCGTCTCCTCCAAGATTGCCAAGCTCAACAAGGCCCTCACCGACGCTTTGTAAATTACCTAAAGAATCCACTTAAAACACAAGAGGGATGCGCATGTTCACATTAGGCGTCTCTTGAGCTTCCATATTTAGTTTATATCAACTCCCTGTACCCCTACCGAATCGATCTACCTCATTCATCCTCTATATTTCTTGCTAGCATGAGCTCTAGTTCTGGAGTCGAATAGACAGAATCGAGTTTTATATCACCCATTTTGGCAGAACATACATACTGTGCGGGTTCTCACTAGTAGTTTGACAGCTGAATAATATCTGTAAACTACTGTAATATCTAATTAACATTCAAAATATCCGACCAACGAGTAATTTATACAGCAGCTATGAAGAAAAATGCGCATTGAAGGGGGATTCAATTTGGTTGTGTTCGGGGCCCGCGGGCAACTGGGGACACGGCACGGGACGATCGACGCGGCATCCTAACTTATGAAACAAGTGTCCTCCCTTCAGATGTCCTTTCTTCCTCTCCTCGTCCCCAGTCCCCCAACCAAGATAACCCGTGACCAGGGTATCAATTGACCATGACGACCAAATCTAAAGATGTCGAGCTGTCCGACGACATCCAATGGATCGAAACTCCCGCCCAAGCTCCTCCCAAGTTTGAAACCGGCGAGAGCTGTGGAATCGCCCTGACCAATGTCAGTTAATTCCTCCATTCCCATTGCTGGCGTATTGCCAACCTGTCCAAAACCGTGCTGACTTCTTCCCAAAGGCCAAGAGCATTAACAATCCTCCCCTGCCGGCAGATGGTCCTGGAAACGAGAGCTTCTCCAACCTCCTGTTGGGCGGCGCCATCATTGGAGTCCCTGGCTTTCTGACCTACCTGCTCGGTGGTGGAAAGAAAACCTTCATCTTCTTCACTCTCGTGACCGTTCTCCCTGTCCTCGTGGCCTTCTGGACCTACACCTCCACCTTCAGCCCCCGCACCAACGAGAAAGTCAAGCTCCCCGGCCGCCCCGTTGAGCACTACATCACCTTCAAGCGCGACGAAGACCGTGCGAAATGGAGCGGACGCAACAAGATCCCCATGCAGACCTTTTCGGAAATGTACCTGGACGGCCTGGTTGACTTCAATGGCGATGTGCTCGAGATCCTGGAATACCGCCACGACTGGGCCAGCTTCGCCTTCACTATGGACCTGTTCAAGTTCATCGTCGGCACCTTCTTCGTCGATGTGCTCTTCCACACCAAGGCCCAGGACGAGGAACAAATCCGTCCCAACTACGACCGGGGTAACGACCACTACGCCTGGTTCCTTGGCCCTCGCATGATCTACACCTCTGGAATCATCTCCGACCCCGATCGTGAAGAAACCCTCGAGGAACTGCAGGATAACAAGATGGCCGTTGTTTGCGAGAAGATCGGCCTCAAGGAAGGCGAGACCATGCTGGACATTGGCTGCGGCTGGGGTACCCTGGCCAAGTTCGCCAGTCTTAACTACGGCGCAAAGGTGACCGGTCTCACCATTGCTGAGAACCAGACTGCCTGGGGTAACGATGCTCTCCGCAAGGCCGGCATCTCCGAGGAACAGAGCCGCATTGTCTGCATGGATTACCGTGACATCCCCCGCACGAAGTACGACAAGATCACTCAGCTGGAAATGGGCGAGCACGTCGGTATTCGCAAGCTTACTGGATTCTTCCGCCAGTGCTATGACATGCTTAACGATGATGGATGCATGTATGTGCAGCTTTCGGGTCTGAGACAGGCTTGGCAGTATGAGGATTTCATCTGGGGTCTGTATCTGAACAAGTACATCTTCCGTGGTGCCGACGCTTCCACCCCCCTCTGGTACTACGTGAAGTGTCTTGAAGGAGCTGGCTTCGAAGTCAAGGGGTAAGCCACCATTCCTAACCCCCGTCCTCCAAACAAACACTAACATCAACTCTTTGATTAGTATCGACACCGTCGGCGTCCATTACTCGGGCACCCTCTGGAGATGGTACCGCAACTGGGTCGGCAACATCGAAGCCATCAAGGCCAAGTACGGTCCCAGATGGTACAGGGTGCGTATACCCTTCCCCTCTACTTCTTAATCTCATCTCAACACATCTAACCCCAATTTTCAACTATAATAGATCTGGGAGCTCTTCCTCGCCTGGTCCGTCATCGCCTCCCGCCAAGGCTCCGCAACCTGCTACCAAATGGTGGTGGTTAAGAACCTGAACTCGACGCACCGCATCAGCGGATTGGCCAGCCAGTTCGGTCTTATGGGTGCTCTCGCTAAGAGCCGCGAGGCAGGCAAGTCCCGTCTGCCTTAGATTGATTGATTTATTCGTCTCTGTGAGATGATCACCAATCTATACGCGACTGGGTTGAACGGATACGTAATGTTACGTTATGTATGAAATATGTTCATGAAACATGAGGTGGATGGTGGACAGATGGTGCTTTGGATATGATGTGATAGAAAGATATGATTTATGCACGATGACCTATCATTTCAGGATTTTCGCAGCGCTAATCAGTTTACTTACTGGATGTGGTTGGCGTCTGCGATGGGGGTTAGTATGTATTAGGAATATGGGAAGAAAGATTTGTTATGATTAGATAGATATTTAGATGAAATGGAATGAATTCTGGTAGAGATAGATCTTCCCAGGTACTGGCAGTACTACTACTTTAGGAGTCTCATTATCGTCGTATTTTTTTCGGTTTCAGTGCTTTGGAAACGCAATCAAAATTGAGAGACTCAATTGTAGTGATAGGGAGTATGCAATGGTATTTAGCCCATGATGTTGTGACTTTGCAACGAATATATAATCATCTACCGTCTACAACACATGTATCCACAACCAGTACTAACATGGAACCATATCGTCGCACTATATCATCCCCTGTGCAAGTCTCCCTCGTCTAGTGTATCTCTCAATGTCCATTCGGGACACGATCAGCCTGTGCTTCAAACTCGTCCTCATACGCTCCCATGGATGCCCGACTGCGGACACGTTCCAACTGACTCTCCACGTACTGCGACACATGTTCGTCATCTCCGAATCCTAGTCCTGACTCGCCGAGTTTCTCATCGTCATCCAAAGCGGATTCTGGCCCAGGTGTGCTACGACCTGTGAAAGCAGACTCAAAGTCACTGCGGTTTCCGATCGACCGGCTGGTGGATGAGCGGCGCACGCTGGGACGACGGCTCCCGCGTGGTCGCGCCGTCCGTGAAAAGATGTCGTCAAAGTAGTGCGATGCTGCTGCGAATGGCGAGCGGGGGGTCTGCGGAACTCGGCAATTGATTCTGTTGAATTGGTTAGAATGATACAACAAAGAGGAATGGGTTTGGGTCGCATAGCTTACCCCGTATCGTGGATGATCTTAGCGATCAAACCGGTCCATCCACACTGGTGAGATGCTCCCAGACCCCGACCAGTGTCTCCGTCGAAGTACTCATGGAACCACATGTAGTCTTTCCAGTGCTCATCGAAGTCGAGAAGGTCGGAGCCATTGTAGACGGCACGACGACCTTCGTCGTTGCGCGCAAACAAGTGTTGTAGCCGGTGCTGGATCTCCTCCGCCACATGTCCCAAATGCATATACTCTCCAGAGCCCGTGGGACACTCCACCTTAAAGGAGTCGCCGTAGAACATGTAGAATCGTAGCAGAGACTCGACGAGCAGGAAATTGACACACAACCAGACCGGTCCCCGCCAGTTGCTGTTACCGCCAAAGAGGGCACTGTCAGACTCGCCAGGAACATAGCTGACTCGGAACATCTGGCCGTTAACCTCCATTGAGTATGGATGTTCCTCATGATGTTTTGACATGGATCGAATGCCGTGCTCTGAAAGAAATTCCGTCTCATCCAGCATCCTTTTGAGGATCTGCTCCAGACGGCTCTTGCTCACGAGGGACAGGAGGAGCCGCTCATCCTTGCCACGATGCTTCATGCTGGCGATATTGCGCTCTGCCACGTCTTGCCGATTCTCAACGAACCATTCCAATCGCTTCTTGAAGGAGGGGAACTTGTTGATCAACTCGGGCTCGAGGGTGAGAACAGCGTACAGAGGTATCAGGCCAACGAGGGACCGGACGGGAAGCTGTTGTGTCCAAGGATCACCATAGGAGATTGCGTCGTAGTAAAATCTACCCAAGGTAAGCATTTGATAGATATATATATATATAGAGATAGACACGGCTTACCCATCATCCTCATTCCAAAGGGACGTCTCCTGCCCCCCGGACTTGAATGTCATGGCATCACTGATCAAAATGAAATGCTCGAAGAACTTAGATGCAACTGTGCGTCATTTGTTAGCCGATGAAAGTCTTAGAATATAGTATGCTTACTGTCTTCGTAGATCCGCCGGTGCTTGGCGAGTTCGAGGGCGATATTAAGCATGCACAGGCAGTAAAATGCCATCCAGCCTGTACTATCAGCCTGCTCTAGGACACCCCCGGTAGGAAGAGGCTCCGATCTGTTGAATAGCCCAATATTATCTAGGCCCAGGAAGCCACCCTCAAAGACGTTTTTACCCTCAGAGTCCTTGCGGTTGACCCACCATGTAAAATTGAGCAACAACTTCTGGAAGACTCGTTCCAGGAAATCAAGATCCTGCCGGCCATACATCTTCCGCTCGATCTTGAATGTCCGGAACGTGGCCCACGCGTGGACCGGTGGGTTCACATCACCAAAGTTCCATTCGTACGCTGAGAGCTGCCCGTTCGGATGCATGTACCATTCCCGGGTGAGAAGGTCCAGCTGTTTCTTCGCAAAATCAGGGTCTATCATGGCCAGCGGGATGCAATGGAAAGCCGTATCCCATGCACAGAAAAATGGATACTCCCAAGAATCAGGCATTGAGAGAATGTCTTCCATGTACAAGTGCTTCCACTGTTGGTTACGGACATGCTTCCTACCCGGCGGAGGTGGAATGAGACCGGGGTCACCATTTGACCACTGATCCCACACGAAATGATAGAATTGTTTATTCCACAACATGCCAGAAAATGCCTGTCGCTGAATGTTGCGTAGATCATCGCTCATGGGAAGCGGGCTGATGTGGTAATAGAAGTCGTCTGCCTCGGCCCTGCGTTCATCGATGATATTATCGAGGACCTCTTCATCCAGAAATGTACCCCGTTTCCTCGAAAATTTAAATCGAACGACAGCGCATTCTCCAGGAGGAATTCCTTCACCCTCATTGAAGGCGTACCAGGCACCGAACTTGGTACCCTTGTTCGCAGGGTTGACTGTGTCCTTTTCTCCATTGACAATAAGGCGATGGAAGGCGTCCTTCACGTATGG